CCTGGGCACGCGCAGCACAGCTGCTGCCAGGCCCGACCAGCCTCGGCAGGGGCACGAAACGAGCAAAAACCCTCGGTGCGAGGGTCTCTGCTGGCAACTGCTGCTCCCACGATTGAAGTTATAAACCCCTCACAGCAGGGAAGGGCTGTCCAAGCTCAGCAGTAAATGAATAAAAATGTTAATGCTGTGTCCTCCCAGCAAGCAAAGCCTCTAAAGAGGCAAAGCTCCCTGCAACACGCAAGCGAGTATCAGCTGCCTCGTTGTCCTGTAATTGCGATTGCGTTTCTGCGAGGGCTGAGGTCAGAGTAGGTTCATGCTTTAAAGAAAGTCAAGGAGGATGCCTCTGAATGGGGGCCGTGCCCCTAAATGCCCTCCACCTTTTAGCCTTGGCTTTCAGGTGCAGCTGCCTGTGTGGTGTTGCTGCAGGGTGCTTCTGCTGCCGGAGGGGATGCCCAGGCTTGGGCTTCTGCTCCCCCAAAGGATGTAGGTGTGTGGCACGGGTGCACTCATGTAGCTGCCTGGGCATCCCTCTTCCCTCGAGCAGGGCTTCATCAGACAAGTCACAATGAACCGCCGGCAGCTTTCTGGTTGCAGCCACGCTGCAGCGCGCACGGGCCAGGTGTCTGGGCTGGAGGATGCCTCTGAATTTTTGAGCATGTCTCCATGGGTGTTTGCTGGCTGCACACCAAGAACCCATGGCTGATCTTCCTACAAACTCTTGAGTAAATTTAGAACAAAAGTTCACTCCTCTCCCAAGGCAGCAGGAAGTGCAAAGGGTGGGAAAAGAGAAAGTCAGAGCAGATGAGGTCCAGTGCCCGCAGGCAGCCTCCCCATCCCCACTGCCACCCCCTACCCAGGCTGGTGACTGGGTTGTCCCCCACCCCTGTGGCCAGCCCAGAAGGGCTCTGCTCTCAGCGCTCAGTGCTGGGCTAGTCGTGCTGGGCGTGATGGGTTCCCTCCAGAGACTCAAGTTCTCGGTGGCTGGGACCATTAAATGACCCTTACTAGCAGAGGGGACTGGCTGGAACCACAGCTTCGCGCTGGGATGCCCTGCTGGGTGCCTGTGTGGGTGGCTGCCCTGAGCAAAGGCTCTCCCCACTTTTTCTGAGGAGGAGAGGGACCGATGCAGGCAACACTGAGTTTTCGGGCACTCCTGACCTGTGCTAGCTGGGAACCTGGGAGCATCCGCTGCCAACCACTGCCTCAGGATGAGGGGACTGGCTGGAACCACAGCTTCGCGCTGGGATGCCCTGCTGGGTGCCTGTGTGGGTGGCTGCCCTGAGCAAAGGCTCTCCCCACTTTTTCTGAGGAGGAGAGGGACCGATGCAGGCAACACTGAGTTTTCGGGCACTCCTGACCTGTGCTAGCTGGGAACCTGGGAGCATCCGCTGCCAACCACTGCCTCAGGATGGCTGCACGCAGCGTGGCAGTGCCGGGGCACTCCTGCCTTCGGGGTACCCCGAGAGGGCAGCTC